AGGGAAACCAGCTTTTGATAGGGTTCTTGAAAGGATGAAGAAGAGCCCTGAAGGCAGAGTAAGGTCTTTTCCTTTATGTATTTATTTAATTATTTATTTACTTATTTATTTATTTATTTATTTCAATTCATTTTCAGTTGACCGTAATAGGCTTGCTCTTCCCCTATATATTTGATTTGTAATAATTTATATATTATATTTCCTGTAAGGGAAAATCAATGGTTTATAACTTACTGATAAAAACAAATCAAAGGTTCAAAAATCTCTTTGCATCACTCATTCTATGAAATCCAATTTGATTGTGCTTTTCTTAACCATACTCATCATGACTAGTCCTTATTCCATCTTGATATAACGCTACAGAACCATTCTATCACAGTTTTACTGTGATAATGTTTCCTGTTTTCTTTCATGTTAACGAGTACTATGATTTCAGCATCTTTTGCAATCTTTGTATTGTTTACGCCATACACCTAACAGAGAGCAATGTTAGGTGCTGTTCACGGCACGCCCTTTGAGTTGAGGTACAACTAGGTGCATATTTACTGCCTTGATAGGCGCAGTTAGTTCTTACCTATTTGGTGAAAACTAGTACTCATAGCTGTGTCTTTATTCTCTCTTTTCCCCCTAGTTCCTAGTGAGTCTTTTCTGTTTTGTCCTAGCTCCAACAGATAAGACAGTCTCTATTATGCTTCTTGTTGTCTTTCTCATCTTATAAATTTTGGTGTCTCATGCCTGTTATATGCTGGAAACCTGTACCAACTCTGTAAGAGCCAACAGTTATAAGGAAGATAGTACTGAGATACAGCTAGGGCAACTTAAGTGCTAGTCTCAGAAGCAGTGGGGTGGGAGTAAATTGTGTTAAATCTAATGGTTGTCAGGTTACTTTGATCATTCTGAATATTTCAGATGACTGACGTGAAAGCTTGTGATATATTTTCAATTTTTTGCCATTTTGTTGGAGTACTCACTATCTCATTTGGCTCTTTTCATCCTATGCCTTTCTAGGAAACCATTTCCAAAAGTTGTCCCAGATTAGCTTTAAGTATATTTTTGCTTAATGATTGTAGTTTTCAGTGTAGGGGTAAATTCTGCGTACACATTACCCTCCCCAGAATCCACTTTTGTGATTACATTGGGTGGATTTGTTTTTGTTTGTTGTAGTTTTCAATGTATTTACACTTCTATATCAGGAAATACTGTTGGAGCGACCTCGTGTGATTTCTACAAAAGTGGGGCATGCATGGGACCTACCTGATAACACTTTTGGTGCTGCATACGCAAAATTTATGGGATCTAGGAACTTTTCACCTGATGATCGTCCACCAGTGCGATTCATGGAAACTGAAGAGTTGGCATATGTAGCTATGCGTGCTCGCGAGGTGCATGACTTCTGGCACACCCTTTTTGGCCTTCCAACAAACCTGATTGGAGAAACAGCACTAAAGGTGATCGAGTTTGAACAGATGCTACTCCCCATGTGTTTGATGTCTGTGCTAGGGGGTACAGCAAGGTTTACTGACAAGCAAAGGAGCTTGTTCTATCAGCATTACTTCCCATGGGCTCTAAAGGCTGGAGCTCGTTCCACAGATCTCATGTGTGTGTACTATGAAAAACATTTTCATGAAGATTTGGAAGATGTCCGTCGCAGATGGGGGATAATTCCAGCTCCCTCTCCTCCAAGACCAAATTCAACAAATGTTGTACCTCTTTGAAGAGGAATTGAATCGATTACTGACTTCCCATGCAATTTCGTTTTGCTCTATACGAACAAATGTAAATATTTACTCAGGGTGTAGTAAAAGAATGACCTATTGCAGTTGTCTTTGTTGTGTCTGCTGCTTTTTATGTGAAAACTTTTTCGGTTTTTGTGAATTAAATCTGTGTGAGGACTGAACATTCTTCACTTGTCGATCATTTGCTGAGCATAGTTAAGTGTCAAATGTACTGTATGCAAGATATGATGCTGTTCTAGGACATTATTCCTACTTCAATAATGAGCTACTTTCTTTTGTTCTCGTTCCAATTGGTCAAGTTGTTTTTACGTATGAGTTTTAAAGGTGGGATGAAATACTCTCTTTTTATCACACCATTGTCATGGAAGCCAACCAAATGTTTCCATACTTCCTATGAAAAAATCTCGCATAACTCATCAGCTTCGTGAGAGTAGCATAGACATTTTTCCAAGTCGTCATAATGTTGCATATTTAGATTAAATCTCTCTTTTTTCATAGCCAGCAACTATGGTCTAATAGATGTTAACCCTTTTTAGAGATCTTGTTTTCTCAAAATACTTTTGATTATTTTGTCCATGTGACTAAGAGGTCACGGGTCCAAGCCGTGAAAACAGCCTCTCGCAAAAATACAAGATAGGGCTGCGTACAATAGACCCTTGTGGTCCGGCCCTTCTCTGGACTCCGCGCATAGCGGGAGCTTAGTGCACCTGGCTGCCCTTTACTTTTGATTATTTTGTAAGGTTCATATAAAGCCCTAAAAAACGTAGGAATAAAGAGGAAATTGGTGAAAACATCTCAAATACTTGTTTGGGTTCTGTCTCTAACGATAGGTTACAGTTTTCATGATTCTTGGATGTTCACTTTGAACCAAAAGTTACTACCTTTACCCAGCCAAGCTTCTGAAGGGGCTAAAGAAACCTGCAAACGAGAAGCCCTTTACTCAATATACCATCAATAGAGGTTGTTGAGGCCTTAACTCGTCTAAGTAGTTTATGCTTCCGATTAAGGCGATCAACACGATAAAGTTCATCACTTCATCAAGTATTATTGCGGCTTTGAGAAATGCAGTAACCCAAATCTGATTTGACAATATCAACTATATATAATCAAGAACATATGAAAGTTAGGCAACAAAAGCAGTTAAATCAAATGATCAATCAACAAAAGTCACATATTACATTAGATAGTAGTAACTTTAGTTTCAAAGTGTCAACTGGGACTTTAGATGGAAGTTTATCCAATTAACACTTCACAACAACCTGAAATACTCGCAATTACAATTACAACATAGTCGAAAGACAAAAGGTAAAGAAACAATAAGACAATTATCCAACTGTAGATTGGGGAATTGCTTAGCTGCTGCCATCCCCGAAGAGATATCCCAAAGAAGATCCACCTCCAGGAGCAGCATGGACTTTGGTAGATGGTCGGTCCTGCATCAAGGTAATAGTCCCAGTTAAAACTAGACACGTTTATCTAGAACTCAATGCACTAATATGATTGTACAAGACTAAAGTTAACAAGATCTACTCCGCTATAAGATACAAAAATTATTTCATCAACATAGAGGTTAAATCTGGAGATGAATGCTAGGGATTCACTAATTAGCTGAATTGCATAGGGTTTCAACCGAAATATCCTTAGTCATTTATTTTAGCAAATTCTTGTCAAATATAACAGTTAGTGGTGGACAACTACCCGACATTGATTACAATGGCTACCAGTGACAGATGCGAACACACCACACTAATATCCGAATCAGTAAGTCAAGCAAAAGTCATCTCTGAAAGCGCATGGCAGAGATGGTAGAAGTATGAAAATCGCAAGATCACCCTCGTGGTCGGAAACCATGTCATGTTCCAAAACATCCCTAGATATTTTTTTATAACTAAATCGCTTTGTTGTATCATGTAACTTTCGCATCAGAGACTTAACTGTTTTTCAGCAACCAATAAATGTTACATAACCTAAAAAATTGAAGGATCATTTATGTTGGGCAGCAAATGGATGGTAGGAAAAATTAATGGATCTAATAAATCGATGTATCATTTCTGAATCACGAGACAATAACTATATCCAGTGCAATCAATTGTTTGTGATAATCAGGGAAAGCTAATCTATTTGCAAATTTACTTCAGGCTCTTCTTTTTACTTCAATATTTTTGATGTAGTAGTATTATATGGCATCAAGAAGATGCATGATAACACTGATCTGATCCATCAAGATATTTCTCCAGCAAAGCATGAAAATGAACCAGATAAGCATTTCAAAAGACATCATC